AGCTGTCATGGATTGTACTCCCTCTACTCTCCAGCACAGGATGTTATAGGAGAGAGTGCCTGGGGCCAATTACCTAGTATTGAGATGGTGAGAGGGAGCTGAGGTTAGGCAGGACTTAGTGAGGTGAAGATATTGGGGAAGCAAGTTCCCAGAAAAGAGATAGCATTTGCAAAGTCCGTGAGGCAGGAAAGAGCTTGGCAGGCTTAAGAAGCTCATTTAGTGTGGTTGGAGGGGTTGATGCAACAGGAGAAATGGCGAGAAGACTGGAAAGGTGTAGAGTCCTAAAGCCAAGTTAAAAATTTTATCTTTGGGGGGGCCAGGCCCGTGGCTTAGAGGTTGGGTGCGCCTGCTCTGTTACTGGCAGCCGGGTTCGGATCCCGGGCACGCACCAATGCATCACTTGTCTGGCCATGCTGAGGCGGCGTCCCACATACAGCAACTAGCAGGATGTGCAACTACAACATACAACTATCTACTGGGGCTTTGGGGAGAAAAAGGGAAAAAAAGGAGGAAGTTTGGCAATAGATGTTAGCTCAGGGCCGGTCTTCCTCAGCAAAAAGAGGAGGATTGGCATGGATGTTAGCTCAGGGCTGATCTTCCTCACACACACACAGAAAAATTATCTTTGGGGCACTGAGAAGCTATGGAAAAGATTTAATGACATTTCCCTGCTTCTTGCATCTCAATCCATCATTTTCCTGGATAGGCTCTCTTATCTTCAGATACAGAGGTGCTGTGCAGACAAGTGTAGTATCCTTCCAGACTGAAACACACAGGCAGCTGAGCAGAAACCATGCTTAGGAGCATAGAGTGGAAAGAGCACGAGCTCGAGAGGCAGAATGCTTGGGTCTGTATGATTTTGAACACATTTCTTAACCTTTCCACGCCACTTCCTTTTCTGTACAGTTGGTAATGTAACATTTACACTCCTTATCAGGTTGTTGTAGGATCAGAAATAACAAGTACAGTGCCTATGACTGGCGCTCCGTAGGTGGTAGCTGTGACTATTTTAGCAATACTCTCTTGCTAACACAGATTTCAAACTCCTTTTCAGGAATGGAATCACAGAATCATATATTGTCAAATTGTGAAGAAATCTTAAAGGTCTGTCTGTATATTATGCTTGAATCCCTTCTGCAACACTGATGATCAGTTGGTTTGTTATCCAGCGTTCCTTATAACATCCAGAAACAGGAAGCTCAGTACTGTCTGAAGCAGCCACTCCATGTTTGGGCTCTATTAGAAGGTTCTTTCCTTGGACTGAATCCAAATATGCTTCCCTGTGACCTCTATCCAGGGGTCTTGGTAGTGCCCCTAATGCCTCTTCCATGAGACAGTCCTCCAGATGTTCGAGGTCATGATTTCCACCACCACTCATCTAGAGTTGAAAAGCTTGTTTCTTCAGCCTAACAACAACAATAAAGGGGTCAATTCATCAAGAAAACACAGTAATCCTAAAACATATATGTACCTAACAATAGAGCTTAAAAATATGAAGTAAAAAGTGTTAGTGGGAGATTTTAATAGTAAAATAATATTAGTAACGTTTAGTGAGCACCCATACTATATTTGGTGCTGTAGATACACAGATAAGTAAGTCTCAGTCAATCCTGTCAATTGAAGAAAGGCATACAAGTAAATAAATGTAACACAACATTACAGGTACTGTGACAGGTCTGTGCAGGAAAAAGCAGGAGGGGTGGGGAGGGCACCAAGGGAATTGTCATCTTTATGAAAGAAGGGCCTGCCTCTTAGATGACACAAACTGCACCCTGACAATTGAGTAGATAATACCCACACTCAACTGGACTTATCCATTGGTGATATTTGTTAAAATATCATTTTAGAGGCTTTAGTCACACAAAGTATTCAAAACAGCCACTGTCAGCAACTGCAAATGCATTCCTACAAGAAATGTTAATTTTCCTTGTTAACATTCTTTACGAAGCCTCTTTTAGAGTCAGAATGATAGAAACCAGGCAAGGAAGAAGAGTGGAATACTGTGATTTGCTGTACCTGCACATGGATGGCAAGTATTTGGAAAGAAGGAGCCTTGGCTAGTCTTTTCTAAGCACTGAAATACAAGAGATGAGGCACACTGTGTTTGTCATGGCCATACAATACAGGAAGGCCACAGAAGACGGGGAGCAGTAAAGCATTTGCCCACTGAATCACTGCAAGTTGTGTGAAAGCAGCATGGTACTCACACTTCGGTGCTTGTTTCTTCCTGTGGGGCCCTGTGCTGGATGCTAGGGTAAAGATGGCCTAAGAGGCTGAGTTGCGTACAAGGCGGTCCACTGCAGAAAGAGCTAGGGAACCTCAGGAAAAGAATTATTTGACGTGCCCTGGAAATTCTGAGGAGAGATCCTTGGGCAGATGAAGCTAGCCTTCCTAAAGGAGGCAGCATGTCTAAGAATAAATACAACAATGAAGTTGTCCCGGCCTCCTGAAGTGGGACCTTCTCCATGAGAGCCATAAGAGAGGAAAAGGCAGTGAACCTCGAGCTTCCTTCTTCAAGAAGAAACAAATGAGAGAGGCAGAAACCCAAGAGTTCAATATCAGTGGAGACTAAAACGGTAATATTTTTCAAGTTTGTTAAAGAAGCCCTTCAAGAAACAATTACAAAACTAAAGATCTACAAATATTCCCCAAAACAAAAAATGAAAAAGTGTAGAAAAGTTTGTTTCACAGTGTGCAAACCTTCCACCTTTAGAAGTCAACGAGGAGGATAAAACAAGTGGTGTTAGGTGAAAAGTACTGATGGAGACAAGTGAGGCAACAGGAATGTTGAGTGGAAGTTCAGAGACACCCGTCCCATCCCCATTGCCCAGTTGAGGGGACTGAAGTCCAGAGAGGGTCTCAGACTCCTAAGACACAAATAGGACTCCTTTCACCCAGCAGAGCACAGCACTGCAGCCCAATGATGAGTTTAGCACGCCTCCCCGCCCCCCTTCAGCCCTTTCTGAACTGACTTGACAAAACAGAGGAACTTACTCCAGAAAACTCTTCATTTCACCACAGTATTTCATCGAGGGATTGTCTTCTCTACTGGGGCACTGGCACAAGGTAATTAGCTCTCTCTCCTGCCCCTCATTTGCTGAGCTACCTTTTTTAAAAAAAGTAGTTCCCTTCAGGCATTATTATTATTGAGACATTATTCACATACCATAAAATTCACCCTTTTAAGGTATACAATTCATTGATTTTTAGTATATTCACGAGGTTGTGCAACCATCACCACTGATTCCAAATCACTTTCATTTCCCCTAAAGAGACCTCGTACCCATTAGCAGAGACTCCCAGATACCCCTCCCCGAAACCTCTAGTGACCACTAATCTACTTTGTCTTTATGGATTTCCCTATTCTGGACATTTCACATAAATGGAATCATAGAATATGTGGTATTACGTGTCTGGCTTCTTTAATGTTTTTACGGTTCATCCATGTTGCAGCATGCATCAGTACTTCATTCCTTTTTATGGTTGAATAATATTCTATCATGGATATACCACATTTTTTAAATTCATTTATCAGTTGATCGACTTTGGGTTGTTTCTGCCATTTGGCTATTGTGCATAGCAGTACTATGAACCTTCATGTATTCAAGTTTTTGTGTGGACATATGTTTCATTTCTCTTGGGTATATACCTAGGAGTGCAATTGCTGGGTCATATGGTAGCTGTTTAACCTTTGAAGAATTGCCAGACTGCTTTTCAAAGGGCTGTACTACTTTACATTCTCATCAACAATGAGATCCAGTTTTGTATGAGGGATACAATTTTGCTGCATCCTCACTGACACTTGTTGTTAGTCATCTTTTTTATTACAGCCATACTAGTAGGTATAAGATGGTATCTCATTGTGGTCCTGATTTTCATTTCCCTAAGGACTGTTTCATGCTTGTTGGCCATTTGTATCTCTTTTTTTGGGAAAATGTCTATTCAAATTCTTTGCCCATTTTTTAATCAGGTTGTCTTTTTTTTTTTTTAATTTTTATTTTTTTCCCCCAAAGCCCCAGTAGATAGTTGTATGTCATAGTTGCACATCCTTCTAGTTGCTGTATGTGGGACGCAGCCTCAGCATGGCTGGAGAATCGGCACGTCGGTGGGGTGCGCGCCCAGGATCCAAAGTGCACGCACTTAACTGCTAAGCCACGGGGCCGGCCCATAATCAGGTTGTCTTTATTATTGAGTTGTAAGAGTCCTTTATATATTCTGTTACTAGACCTTTATCAGATAAATGTTTGCAAATATTTTCTCCTATTCTGTGGGTTTAAATTTCTTGAAGTTTTCTTTGAAGCACTGCTGAGCTACTTTTAACAAATATTAAAACATCTTAAACTAAATTAGGAATATGTAAATGGTGTCTAAATTATACTTTTAAATTTAATAAGCATTATAATTTTACGAGCAAACCATTGTATGCAGACCACATTTTGAGGCTTCCAAACTAAGAGTCTTGAGTTCACTCTGGGATCCATCAAAATGATAGCTATCACTTTTATAGCATTTATGTGCCCGGCGCTGTTTGAGCAATTTGCACGTATTAACTTATCTAATTCTCACAACAATCCTATGAGGTGGAGACTTATCATCATACTTATTGTACAGATGAAAAAACGGAGGCAGAGGGAGGTTAAGTAATGTGCCTGAAGCCACAGAGTGAGTAAGTAGCAGGGATGGGCTCCAGATTCCGTTGCTCTTAACCACTTGCGAAACTGCCAAGGCGGAATTAAACCATTTCAAAGAATGCCTAACCCCTCGCTTTGGGGAAGTAATAGTTTTCGTGGCGTCAACACTCTGGATGTTTTTCCTTTCCTTACCAAGCCAGAAACTGGTGCTACCCTTCCAGGCGTCTTCATCGCTCCCTCCCCTCCCAGTCTGGTTTCAGGACCCTCTCTCCTCCCCAACGGTCAGAGGCTTTAGTGTTTGGAAGTAACTGCGAAGTCGCCTGCGTCCACGAGGTGGGTTGGTTCTAAAATTCTGGCGGCCAATGGGCGGTGAGAAGCAGCGGATTCAGCCCAGTGGGACTCAAAGCTGCGCCGTGGGCGGAGCCAGCGGAGGGGGCGGGAACGGAGCCCCTGCGGCGGTGCCTGCTGTGCGCGGTGCCTGCTGCCCCGAGCGGAGCCATGAGCTGGACCTGCCCGCGTTGCCAGCAACCCGTGTTCTTCGGTGAGGCCCGGGCTGAGGAGGGAGAGAAGTTGGGGCGAGTGTGAGCCGCCGCGTTCCCTGAGGACGCAAGGAACTGGCGACGGCGGGGGTCCCAGACCCCCTTTCCACCTGTGGGGCGCGTGGCATTCGGGCGAGACGGAGCTGGCCTCCCGGAGACACTCCCCATCGTCTCCAGGAAGCATGGCGGGCGAGGTTGAGGGGAGAAAGGAGGGCGCCCCCTGCTCCACCTGGCTCCCCGCATCCCGGTTTCTCCTTGTCCCCCACAGCGGAGAAGGTGAGCTCCCTGGGCAAGAACTGGCACCGCTTCTGCCTGAAATGTGAGCGCTGCCACAGCGTCCTGTCCCCAGGAGGGCATGCAGAGGTGAGGCTTGGCCAGGGCGCACAGCCCTGGGTCTGTCACTGTCCCCCAGGCACCAGCCCCCAGTTTCGGCCCTGGAGGCCCACCAAAGGCAACTTCAGCAGCCAACTTCCAAGACCACTGGGCCCCACACCAGCCAGGATTTGGGGAGCCTGAGTTGTGCTGGTGGACTCCATGCCTTTTAGGGGGTCGGGAGGGAAGCAGCACTGCTTCCTGACCTGCTCTTGCCCTTTCTCCCTGACCACAGTGGCCATTCTGGCATGCTAGCCCACCCCTCCACCTCTCCCAGCCCCACCAACATGGGCCAGTGGACAGATACACCTGGCAGCCTGTCTTGGAGGAAGGCCTGTGGGGCACAGGAGAGGCCCTCCTTGGCCCTGAGCAACCCCCTTCCCTTTGCTTGTGCCTAGCACAACGGGAGGCCGTATTGCCACAAGCCATGTTATGGGGCTCTCTTCGGCCCCAGGGGTAAGTACCAGCTTGGAAGGGGCTATGGGGCAGCAGAACCCTCCCTGTGGCTGGGAGCTGGAGGCTCAAGCCTGACCTCCCCCCTTCTCTCTGCAGGGGTGAACATTGGTGGTGTGGGCTCCTACCTCTACAACTCCCTCACTCCCACCCCTGCCAGCACCACTCCTGTCAGCCCCAGCAGCTTCAGCCCCCCCAGGTCCAGGACTGGCCTCCCCCAGGGCAAGAAAAGTAAGTGAGGCTGGGCCCCAGCTACTCCTCCTCCTGACCCTTTCCCAGGCTGGAACAGGGGGTGGGACCAAATGGCAGTCTCCCACCCAGTCCTTCTGCTTCACATTCCTACAATGTTGTTCATGGCAAAGTCTCCTCTCATCCGTGGCTCCTTTTTTGATGTTCCCTCATGTCAGCTGCTGATGGTATTATCACCCGCATTTTACAGGTGAGGAAACTGAAGTCTAGAGAGGGCAAGTGACGTTGTGCAGTTACACAGCTAGTCAGAGGCAAAGCTGGCCTGGAACTTAGGCCTCTACCAGGCCAGGGCCATGGAAGGAATGACCTACGAGTGTGGGGTCATTGAGACGGGGCCCGCCCCTCACATTCTTCCACTTCTCCCCCTCCCTGTTCCTTCCTCCCATCCCCTGGAGTGGGTAGTGACACCATGCTCCCCAACACCTGAAACCCCTGCCCCAGCCAGCTCCTGTATCAGCTCAGGTTTCCTGAGGATTGAGTTGCTGACAGGGTTGGGCTGGTGGGCACCTGAGCACCTGAGAGGATAAGGAAGCAGGTGGTCCCTCCTACAGATAGGGATGGGGCAGGAGGTGGGGTCAGAGGGGACTCAGCTCTGCCAGAGGAAGCCAGACTGATGGCCACCTGAGTGGGAGGCTTTGGGCTAGGGATGAGCATGGTTTTTGGAAAAGGAGAGTGCCATATGCAGGCCGGTGCTGGTGGGCTCTGCTTAGGCCTGGCCCACACTTCAGCCCTAGCTAGGGCCTCTTCCCCTTAAAGGCCCTCCCCACATGAAGACGTTCACTGGGGAGACCTCGCTGTGCCCTGGCTGTGAGGAACCTGTCTATTTTGGTAAGCAATAACGGAAAGCCTGGGGTGCGGGTGCGGGGGGGGCTGGATGGGCATCAGGCAGGGAGGTGGTGTGCCCCTGCCCTGCCCCTAGAACTACCCGCTTCCTCCACCACCAGCTGAGAAGGTGATGTCTTTGGGCAGAAATTGGCACCGACCTTGTCTGAGGTGCCAGCGCTGCCAGAAGACCCTGACTGCTGGGAGTCACGCGGAGGTAAGCAGGGACAGGGATGCGTGGTTATGTTGGGAGGAGGGAGGCTGGAGATGGGAAGAGAGCCAAGCTGAGACGGCTCTCTTTCTCTCTGTGTCCCAGCATGATGGCGTCCCCTACTGCCACATCCCCTGCTACGGCTACCTGTTTGGCCCCAGAGGTGGGCAGCCCCACCCCAGACACTGGGCATAAAGTATGATGTGTGGGTCTGTGGGAATGTGTGCACAACTTCCCCTGTGGTCAAACACACACCAGGCCCCTCCCAATTCCCTCCAGCCCTCAGCCCAGCACCGCCCAGCCCCAAGGCCCTTGGTGACGGGGCTCTCTCCCTCAGGTGTGAACATTGGTGATGTGGGCTGCTACATCTATGACCCCGTGGAGATAAAATCCAAATGAGATGCTTACAGGAGAGGTCACCCAACTCGGGCCTCCCACCATCCCCTCCATGGCCCACTGGGAGCTACAGAATTCTCCAGTCCCGTGGGGGTGGGGAAAGGTGGGATTTTGGTGGCCTGGGCCTAGGTTCCATGGTAGAACAGAAAGTCTAGACTTTCTCTGCCAACTCCTCCTTTTCCCATTCCTATCTAGTCAGAGGACATAGGCCACCCCATTTTGAAGGGTGGCCTCCTGGCCTTCCCCATCCCTTTCCCCAGGAAATTCTGTAACTTTAAGGTACTCATAAAACTTGTGTTTATTCTGGCTTCTCCAATAAAATGTTGGCTCCCATGCCTTCAGCTCTTCTTTGGGCATGAGGCCTGAACAGTGGATTAGAGGGTGGGGAGTGTGGGGGTAAGGGATGCATTATCCTGCAAAGTGCCTGGGAGGTAGCAGGGCCAGCCATGGGAACAAAGAGCTCTGTTCTCCTGGTCGCCTGGCCCTGGGCAGCCCCTTGCAACACACAATGGACAGCATGCCCACCAGCCCTGTTGGTACCAGAAGTCATCATAGAACAGTCTCTTCTTTAGCACCATCTCTAGAAGAAGCACCTTATTTAGCATCTCATTTGAGCTTGACAACAGATAGATCCTGTGGTGAGGTCTGCTAAGAGGCTGCATTATCCATTTGAAAGATGAACAGACTGAGGCCCAGAGAAGGGAAGCCACATGCCCAAGGTTACACAGCAAATCAATGGTAGAGCTGGGATCAGAACACAGGGCCAGGCTCAGTGGGTTCCCACCCAGGGCTTGTCCCACAGTTCCTCACTGCTGCCCCAACCCAAGGGGCACCTTTATTTACAGAATCCCCCCAGCCATGAGAGGGGTGCCAGAATTCTCCAGCAGCCCACTGCATCCTGGGAGGTCGCCCTCTTGCTGGAGGCCAAATAGTCAAGGCTAGATGAGCAGAGAGAGGGAGCACTGGTGGCAACTCCAGCCCTGGGCAGGGGGCTCAATGCCCCCAGCACCGGTCGCAGGGCTTGCCCTTCTGCTCTCCTAGCCCTTGCTGCAGAACTTCTGTGGAGGGCTTGCCCCTGAACCACTCAGTCCTGGACTTGCTTCATGGACATCTCTTCCTCCCGAAGGCTGGACAGGGCACTGGAGAGGAAGGAGTCATGAGCAATGGTGGGGTTTAGCCCCCAAGCCTACCACCCCAGCTTGCTTTATCAAGGCTGGCCTAGAGGTCTCCCCAACTCCTGGTATACAAACGTGCACTCCCACAAGTGACTCCCACGCATGCCTGTACACATACCTGATGTGGAGGCATACCTGAGTGTGCACACATTCACCTCTTCCTGGACAGTCTTGGGTATTTGTGTACACACACACACACATATGGACTCGTGTACACTTTTCATGCAGTTTACATACCTCAGGTCATGCACCCATGCACACTTGCTTACATGGACCAGATACACACGTACAGACCTGTCTTCCTCTCTGAATCCTAAGGTGTCAGGCACCTGAGCACCCATACCCACATGCCTGTGCTCACACAGACACAGTCCTGTGCACACACCTCTTCCTCTCCACGTCCTGGATGGTCTCTGGCAGCTGTGCCTGCCTTGTCTCTGGCAGCAGGAGGGCAGTGCAGGCAGCCAGCAGGGCAATCCCCCCATAAGTGAGCTTGGGCAGTGGCAGCCATACTCCGTCCAGCAAGGCCGCCAGTGGGGCCAGAGAGCCCCCCAGCCGGCCCACCAGTGCAGTCAGCCCCATCCCTGTCTGTCTGTTCAGAGAGAGGATGGGGGAGGGGGTTGGTGCTCAAACCTACTTGGGGTCCTGCCTCATGGGGCTCCCTGCCTGGACTGGCAGGCTCTGGTACCCCCTTGTCCCCAGATGGCTAAGAAAGCTGGAGCTTCTTTCATGGGGTCTCCCACCCACCACAAGCCAGGGGCCCCCAAGCCAGCACCCACCAGAGGATGGGGTCCCCAATCTGACAGAGTACCAGTCAGGTACCGCTGTAAGAAAAGAAAAATCACCAGAAAGGGGTAGGGAACGGGTAGTGTGGAAGGAAGAGAGTCAGCAGCTCATACAGACCCTACTGTGTTGTTAGAGGAGGTGCAAGTCTTTCTCAACATACCCAGCTGCCTACAAGTCTCCTCCCCAGCTGCCAATAGCTAGCGGAAAGGGTCCCAGGCCTTATTTCCAGAGACAACCTCCAAAGGGCAGCTCTGGCTGGGCGGTGGTGAATGGGATGGGATGGGCAGATGGGGCTTTTTTGCGACTTTTCTTTTAAAGGAGGCCCAGAGAGGTTGTCTGACCTGATTCAGGGTCACTTAGTAAACGAATATAAAATGCCACCCCTTCTCCCAGACTTAGGCAAACACAGACAGCTCTGATTAGCTCTGTATTCTGGGTGCGGCGCAAGAAATAGGTGAGAGGGATTGGGGTGCAGCGTGTGTATGTGGGGGTGTTGGTAAGAGACGTGACTAACAAGCCCTCCCCCCAGGTGGGTTGCCTGGGACCCAGGCTCCCCTCACCTGAGCACAGTAGGGTACAACTCCGACGTAAACAGGTAGGCAGTGGTGAAGGCACCTTCAGAGAAACCTTTCCCCATCACCGCCAGGGCGATGCTCCAGGACCCCATCTCTGGAGGAAAAGGGGTTCAGGCAGTGAGCGGGCCCCGCGGGAGAGCGAGGGCTCCCAGGATAGGAGGTGGAGCCTCCGGAGAGGGCGGGACTTAACTGGCCTTAAATAGGGGCTTCCGGGAAAGGGCGGGGTTCTTGGCCAGGAGGCGGGGCCTCCGGGAGTGGGCGGGGCCTCCGGGCCTCACCGGAGGACACGAGCAGTCTGAGGCCCATGGCGAGCGCGGCGCCCAGCAGCGCCCCGGCCTGCGTGAGGCGGCGTCCGGCGTGGCGCACCGACACGTAGACCAGCAGCTTGGAGGGCAGCTCCGCGGCCCCAAACAGCAGCTGCGTGTGGTACACGTTCAGTCCCAGCCCCGACAGTTCCAGGCTCGGGCCATAATAGGAGAAGTTCACTCCAAACCTGAGGGGGGTCACGATGCCATTCAGGGGCCTTCTTTCCCACCCCCTTGTCCTTTCTCCTCAGGGAGCCTTGGCCTTTTAGAGGGACCACCTCCCCGGCCTTCAGAGCCCGCTGCCCACGACCTTCCCTGTCCCCATCGTGCCCCCGGCGTGTGCAGCTCGTGCCGGTGGCCTTTACCTAATCTTCACTGCAACCCCATGAGGGAGCACCTGGTAGCGTCCCGCTTTACAGAAGGGGCACTGAGGCTCCGAGTGTTAAGTGCCCTGTCCAAGGTCTCACACTAAGGAAGTGGCAGGGCCTGAATTCTAACCCACGGTCTCTAACGCCTTCTCCATCTGCTGATCTTCCGGAGCCCCACCCCCCCAGAGGCTGATCCTCCCGCCCTCCAGAGTTACAGACACTGTCCCTCATCCTCTCACACGCAGCTCCCTCCTGGAGTCTGCCCCTCCCGCCGCCCACCCCGACCCGGCCAGGCCCATGCCTGTCCCTCCTCACCACATCACCATGCAGCACAGTGAGATGTATCGGAGTCGTGGTGTCCGGAACAGGTCTAGGTACGAGGGTCTTCGGACCACCCGCTCCCCAGCGGCCACTTTGCTCAGAACCTGGTGGGGAAGGAAGAGGGTTTGTGACATTGGAGTTGCCTCTGAGGCCTTAGCAAAGGCACATTGCTCTCTGTGGGTCTCTGTTCCCCCCTTCTGCAGTGGGACGGGGGGATGCACATGGGAGCTGAGTATGGTGGGCCCTGAGTCAAGGCGTGCCCCACCAGACCCAGGTAGGACATCTTGAAGAGTTTGGAACTCTGTACTAGGGGCCAGGAGCTTTTCCTGCACACGTGGTGGGCCCAGGAAGGGAGAACTTGACACAGGCCACACACACACACATACACATGCACGTGGGCACACACGCATGCACTCACACACATTCACCCTCACCTCCTGGCTCAGGCTGTCCTCACCCACAGGCCGCCCATTGAGCCTGGCACAGCGGAGCAGGTACATGTGGGCCTCCTCTACACGGCCCTGGGTCAGAAGCCAGCGTGCAGACTCAGGCACCCACCTGGGGGACAGCAGGAGGCCCTTCAGTCAGTCAGCGCCCTAAGCCACATCTCCCTCCTGGGCATACCACAGGCTGTCAGCCTCCAGGCTCTTGCTCATGCAGTCCCCTCAGCCTGGAACGTGTTCTCCTTCCCAAGCCCTCTTCACCTGATGAACTTTTGTTCATCTGTTAAGGCCCAATTTAAAAGACACCTCTTCCCACGCTTCCTTAACCAGGCCTAGGCCCCCACAGCCTGGGAGTCCCTTCTCTACTCAGCTGAATTGGTCTCACCCCCAAGACTTCAGCCCCAGCACCAGCCACCCACTTCTCCCACAGGTGACAGGAAGGCATAGGATGAAGGAGAGACAGACATACAGACATACCCAGAGGGGTTATCCAAAGCCAGTTCATTTTGGGGAAGCAATGAAATGCCCACCCTGCCTGGCCTCCCATTCTCCTGCTTGGACTCCTACCCTGGTGGGGCCCTGCCCCGGTCCCCACCCCTCCAGGGTGCAGGCCTCAGTTTGTACTTGGCTCTGTCTCTCCGTCTCTGTCTCTCTATATTTTGGTCTCTGTTTCTCTGCTTCTCGTGTCCAGTGCCATCTTTTTTGTATTGGTCTCTGTCTCTATTTATCTCTCTCTCTCTGTCGCTTTCCATCTCTTAGTCACTGACTATGTCTCTTTCTCTTCGTGTCTCAGTCTCTCTGTCTTCGAATCTCAGCCTCTAATTAATTCTGTCTCTGGCTTCCTGTATCTCCCACTCCCCAGCTGCCCACAGGCCTCACCAGAGGCTGACGATGCCTGGGGCACAAGGCAGGGTGACAGCCAGCAGAAGCCATCGCCAGTCCCGTATCAGGTACCCGACCAGTGCCAGCAGCATCACGCCCCCTGTCCAGAAGGTGCTGCTCAGGACACCTGCCACAGTGCGGTGTCCCACGTCCAGCCACTCCAACTCTGGGCCCAGGGCAGAGGCCGGAGACAGGAAGACAGTTAGCAAGGGCCAGATGGGCTCAGTCTCACCCTTGACAACTGCCTCCCTCTATCCTCTAGGCCCTGCCCGTCCTTTGCCTGCCTCACCCAGTGGCATCACGATGATGGTGAAGCCAGCCAGGGCTGCGCCAGTGAGGGTGCGGGTGATGGCGAACATGGTGTAGCTGACCGAGGCTGCAGACGCCAGACCCAGCGCCAGGGCACTCACATAGGCCACTAGCAGCAGACGGCGCCTCCCAAACCTGGAGAGGGGTCATGCAAGGTCAGCTCCCTGTAGACGGGAGGTCCCAAGACAGGTAGACTAGGCCCATAACCCAGGTAGTGGGAGACGGTTCCCCAACCCACTCCCTTATTGGCCCCCTACCTCACCCCACCTGTCGGACAGGTATCCGAAGGCCACGGCCCCCACCAGCACACCGGCGAAGAAGAAGGTGGAAGTGGCTCTGTTCAGACCTCTCTGCTCACACACCAGGTCCCACTGCAGGGACAGGCAGGGAGGGGCCTCCCATGGGCACAGGCCCCTCTCCAGCTGGCACCAACCCCTCCTCTCCAGGCCCTGGGGCCTTCTGAGGTCAACTGTGCCATCCTGGTACTTCTACGTCAGATAATAAACCCCCAACGATTCACCCCAGTTTGAGGGGTAGGAGACTTTGCCCCTCCTCAATCCGCAGGCTCAGCTTTTTTCCATGGAGGGCCTTGACCATGACAACAGGAATCCTGATCCTCCCCATAGAGACTCTGCCCCCACCTGCACTCACCTCCAGATGGATTATGTAAATCCCAGATCTGGAACCCGAAAAGAGGAAGGGAGAGGAGGCCTCTATTGTTTCCCCACCTATTACTGCAGAAGCACCCTTCTCAACTCTCTGCCCCAACTCCCTGGAGCCATCTTAGTCCTACCCTGCCTTAATCACCTCCCAATTAATAAGAGCAGCACCTGTGAATGGGCTCCTTACTGCAAGCCAGGAACTAAGCTTAGTGCTTTAAATTCGTAGACTCCATCTACAGATCGGTAAACTGAGACTCTAAGAGTTAAAGTAATGTGTCTAATGCCCACATAGTAATCACCCAAGGCAATGGCAAGCCCGTCCCACTCATGTGTCCCCCAGCCTCCCAGGGTACCTCTGTTGCAATGGTGGAAGAGAACTCTGAGCGGTCGTACTCCCAGCCCTGAGGGCAGGGCACTGTGGAGGGCTCACCCTCCAGCTCCCCAGGGCTCTGCCCTCCTCCCCACAACGTGGTGTTGGGGAGGGCCTGGGGATGGGTGAAGCGGAGGCAGGAGCTGAGCGTGCCATCGGGCTCCCGGGGCAGGTGGGCCTCCAGCCATGAGTCCTGGTGGCTGAAGTTGGCAGGGGCGCCAGGCAGGGCACAGCGGTGGGCAGGCACAGCAGCCAGAAAGACAGGCAGGAGGAAGTGCAGGGGCAGCAGCACACGGGGCAGGGCCAGCAGTGCCACATTCCGCAGCTGGAAGGGCCCAAAGCCGCCCACCTCTTCTAGCAGCTCCTCGAATCCCATGCCGCCCATCCACCAACAGTCCCCAGTGCGGACTCCCTCCGTAGTGCCACCCACCACTTGGACCCTTGGACTCTGGAGGCGGGAGTAGATAGACTGATGAGCGGAGAGCCTGCAGCTGGAATCCAGCCCTCAGGGGCTGGCCCAGGACTGGGCCCTCCCTGGCCACCCAGGTCTTCAGGAATCCCTGCCTGTCTGGCCCAGTGCCTGGGGGGAGGGGCTGCCATCCATTCAGAGGTCACTGACTCTGTGGTTCTGGGACTTACATATGGGTGCTCAGGGACCAAGTGGGGTAGCCTTGGGCTGCCATGATGGGGTAGCTGGGTGTGCAGGAGGTGAGTCCTAGCCTCTTTATCAGCAGAGCTTCAAGGATTCCTAAGAGGAGGAATACCCAGGGCCTGGTGCCAGCTCCCCTTGGATGCCCTTTGTCCTGTGAAGTCTTACGTCAGCCTTGCCTTCTGCAGCCACAGCCTGACTGGCAGCCCAGGATTCAAGACTGAGGGCCAGGCCCTCACCAGGTGAAGGGTTCTTTCTGCTGAGCCACAAGGCCTCCCTGTACCCCTAGGTCCCCACCTGGAGCTCAGGCCCTGGCCTGAGACACATCTGGAACCACACTGGGCAGTCTGGCCAATCTGGGGATCTCAGACTCATCACCTTCCCACTTTTTCACTCAGGGACCTTCCCATACACAAAGTCCCTCCTGCTCCTATTTTAAGGAGCTTCCTGGATTACCCCCAGTGAGGGGGTAGGGAAGAAGAGGGTTTGCCAAGGTCCTGCCATAGGTACCTGCAATGCCTAAGACTCACAGTCTCTCGGACCTTCCCCACTCAGTTCTCATTCACGGCGCCTGCAGCAAGAGCACAGCGGAAGCCAGCGATGTCAAGTTTATTCTGATCTGATTCTGAGAACACTGGGATGGCAGAGCTGGGAGATTGTCAAGTTGTGTTCCAAGGGCTCCAGATTTCTAAGCAGTTAGGCTTCTAAAGGGCCCAGGCTAAAAAAAAAAAGTTTGAAAACCACTAATTTAATCTAGCCTCCACTTTGAACAGAGAAGGAAACGGTGGGGGAGGGAGCATGGCTGGCTGGGGCACACAGGGACTCAGCAGCAGAGCTAAAGAGAGGCCCGGGGCTTTGACCCAAGCTGTGGAGCAGGAGATGTTCCAGTCTGAACGAGGCTGGTTCCCTGAGAAAGCTCGGGACAAGGGATTGAATCAGTGACATGGTGTGTGTTAATGGCAATGCTAATAGACATGGGAGTTGAGGGCAGTGATTTGGGGGTGGTGACAGGAGGTGATAGTAGTAGGAGATATTTGTTGAGTCTCTAGTGCAACTTAAGCATTCTGTAGGGTACAAAGTCCCTGCCCTCAGTGAGTGTACAGTCTCACAGGAGGGTGAAAACAAGTGACGCACACCTTCCCTGCCTCCAGTCTCACGCCTTTCACTCACTCTCTACACGTCCACCACAATGAGCATTTTATTTTTTTTATTTTTTATGAGGAAGATCAGCCCTGAGCTAGCATCCATGCCAATCCTCCTCTTTTTTTGCTGAGGAAGATTTGCCCTGGGCTAACATCCATGCCCATCTTCCTCCACTTTATATGGGGTGCCACCACAGCATGGCCTGACAAGCAGTGCATCGGTGTGCGCCCGGGATCCGAACCTGGGCTGCCAGCAGCGGAGCGTGCTCACTTAACCGCTACTCCATGGGGCCGGCCCCCACAATGAACATTTTAAAATTCAAATCTGACAGGGTAATGTTTCTGTTTAAAACCTTTCACCAGCTCCCACTGCTAGAGGGTGAAAGTCCAGCTCCCTAGCTTGGCTCCTCTCCCACAGCCTGCCCCTGGCCCCTCCTCACCATGTCCCCTTCCCTCCAGTTCCCCAAACACGCCAGCCTGTTGGCACCCCACACACCAGTGCAGTCCCTGGGGCAGCAGTGGCCTCCCGCTTATTCACCTGGTGGATGTCCAAGCCGCCCTGGAGATCAACTTAAGGGTGAGACAACTCCTGGCCCCTTGCTCTCAACCATGTCACCCCTACACTGTTGGTTCCTCCCTCATTTAATACTATGTAATCATATTAGTTACATAAAAATATAAAATATCATAACACTTTGCAGCTCCCAAGAGGTAATCTCATCTCCATGGTCCATCCAGCGGCTCCACAGGGGAAGACTCTGAGGTTTTTCCACAGCCAGAGAGAACACCCAATGAGGCCAACCCTGGGCATTGGCTGTGGTGCCTTTGTTTTCACAATGGGAATTTCTCTCCTGCCTTAACATGAGAAATAGCTGATAGTCATATAGTGGTCACCTCTCCCTCTTTGCATTGGTTCCTAGGAAACTCAGATCTAAATCTGCAGCCCCTTCTACAGAGAGTAATTTGGCATTGACTGTACCCCTAGCTTCATCTTATTCCCTGCCTCCACCCCACATGGCAGCTCTCCTCTTTGATGTCATCAAGGAGTGGTGGTGATAATGACTATGTTTGGAGGCAGATGATGGAGCTGGACAGGCAAGGTATGAAATGCCAAGAGTCTAACCAGAGGGCAAATCAGCTCTGAATCACAGTTAAGAGCTGATTTTGATTAGATTTTTAACCATCCCCATTCAGCTCCAACCTGGGAATCCAAACCTGAGCTCAGAGGCCAAGATGGAAGAGACCTTCATTTATATGAGACTAAATGAGAAGGAGCCTTGTGCACTGGAAAAATAACAACTCCTTAGTTGAAATTATTACTAGAACTGTTGTAGGGTTTGGGGAAGAATAAGTTCCTAGGATAAATAATTCCCTGTTTGGGACTGCTTGCAATAGGGACTTCTCACACTTTAGCACTTTTTACTCTTTTGCTCCTCTCTGCGTTGTGTGACCTCAGATGACCTCCCCATCTTAGTTGGGGCTTCACTGACCATTAGCCAGTGCTACAACCCATGTAAACCCAATTCCGTCATGGTGGTAATAACGGAATCAATTGCAGTGCTAAGTATGGTGTTGGGTGGTACTACTAATGGTAGAAATGATAGGGATGGGGATGATTGCAGTAGGAATGAGCGGTATAGGGCTAGGGATAGTGGTAATAGTGATGTGGTTATGAGGGCAGTGGTGGTGATGAGGATTGTGTGGCAGATGATACTGATGGTGGTGGTGGTCATAGTCATAATGGTGGTCATGGTGGGGATGGTGATGATGGTGATGGTGATGATAGTGATGATGGTGGTGATAGTGGTGGTGGAGGTGGTCATGGTGGTGGTGGTGGTGGTGATAATGGTGGTGGTGGTAATAGTGATAATGGTGGTGGTGGTGGTGGTGATGGTAATAGTGATAATGGTGGTGGTGGTCATAATCAAGATACGTAAGCTCCCTGAGACCAAGAATCTTGTCTCTCTTGTTAATCATTATGTCATCAGAGCCTGATGGTGATGGTGATGGGGATGGTGATGATGATGGTGGCAATGATGGTGGTGATGGAGCCTAGTTTGGGAGAAGGGTATCTGTGATTTGAGTGATAATGGTGCTGGTAATGGTGGGTATCAGTGTGGAGCTGGCTAAATAGATTATGGAACACTCATGCCATGGACTAAGCAGCCATTAAAAAGAACATGAGGATCCTCATACATTATTGGTGGGAATGTAAAATGGTGTCGCCACTGTGCAAAAGTTTGGTAATTCCTCAAAATGTTAAACATAGAGTTACCATAGGACCCAGCAATTCCACTTCTAGGTATATACCCCAGAGAAATGAAAGCATATGTCCACACAAACACTTGTAAACAGATGTTCATAGCAGCACTATTCATAATAGCCAAAAAGTAGCAACAACTCAAAGTCCATCAGCTGATGAATGGATAAACAAATGAGGCCTATGCATACAATGGAATACTATTTAGCCATAAAAAGGAATGAAATACTGATAAATATATGGATGTACCTTGAAAATATGCTAAGTGAAAGAAGGCAGTCACAAAGAGCTACATATTGTATGATCCCAATCACATGAAATTTCCAAAATAGGCAAATCTATACAGAGACAAAAAGTAGATTAGTGGTTGCCTAGGGCTGGAGGGGTTGGGGGTAAGTGGGAGTGACTGCTGATGGGTATGGAGTTTCTTTTTGGGGTGATGAGAATGTTCTAAAATTGATCGTGGTGATGGTTGCACAACTCTATGAATATAATAAAAATGAGGAAGAGCTATATTTTAAGACATATTGTTGGGCATCAAAATCATGTTTCAGAATAGTAGATACAATAGGCTCCTCTATTTATAGTAAATATGCATATGTAGAGAGAGAGTGCTATTATTATAATGTAAAGAAGAAGGCCTGAAATGGTACACACCAAGACGTTCCCAGGGGTTACCTCTAGGTGGTCAGATTTGTGGATGGGGAGGCTTTCGTCTTTTATTTTATATACTTTTAGCACTTGCCTTTTTACTACAAATATCACCTGCTTTTGTCATTTTTAAACAAGGAGGAAGGTGAAAGCATGTGGGGGCCCCACTGAAGGCTGGTGAATCACGCCCTAGAGCCCCCTGGCATCCACATCGGGGGAAAGCCTGTCCCAGGAGGCCACTGGGTGGGGGAGACAGGAGACCGTTACACAGGTTCCCGGATGTCAGAGCTGCGTCTGACTGGTCTTCTCGGAAGCAGAGTAGGACTTCGGAACCTGAGCCCTTTTACCTCTGATTCCAGGCAGGGCCAGGAGTCTGCCCAGAGACAGAAATTGTTTATATTGCCTAGGCGAAAGATTCACACCTACTGAACCTAGAGTCCAAAATGCAAAAGGTACAGCAAGTACACTACAGGAAAGCCTCCCTTCCCCCAGCTCTCCTCCCTGAAGCAACCAGAGACCTCGAACGTGTCTAAATAGGTATACACTCTACACACAGCTCTTTCACTAAGTCTTAGTCTTGGAGACCTGTCCACAAGCGTGTATGAAGAGGCACCTCCTTCACTGTAGAGCCTCACAGTTCCCCACGATGGGGTCCCCATCACACAGGGCGGCCATGCTCTGCTAATCAGCCCCAATTAATGGACCTTGAGATTGCTTCTAAACTTTTGCTTTTACAGGTCCACAGTCTCTTATCCAAACCAC